ACCATAGATTTTAACCTATTTCTGCTACTACTCGTACAACACGTATTGCCGCTTACTAGCGTAATTACTACCACAGAGCTACTACTGTTTATTTATTTGATTGTCGCCACAAAGATTCCGATGTCTAGTTATTTGTGAGAGTAAAAACAAAAATAAATTTGTCTGAAAATGTTATTCTGATACAATTTCATAGACATTAGCTCTTTCTTCTATGTCAGCTACTTAAGCGTATCAGAGAATTACTTATAAAAGGTTAAGCGTTGTTTATCGGATTTTTATCTCTAAAAATTATGTCAAGTGCTCCATTTGTTACATAATATGAAACATTAGTAATACTTATAAATTATAATAAATATCTATTTTTACTCTTTTTCCTAACCATCACATTTTAAGAATAGATTTTTTTCTATTCGTATACTAAACCGGTACAAAAGTGAAATTTTTTTCTCTATAGACAGAATGCAATCTCAGAAAATATATGAAAAATGTATAACCTTTTTCGATTAAAAAAACTAAATTTGCATGAAGCATTTTATCAATAAATTTTTATTTGAATTAAATAATTTATGTAGACTTATAAACATTTAAGAGACTAAAACAAAATGATGACATTTCACCTGTTATGTGACAGCAACAACAAAGAAAGTTCTTTTTGAAATGAATACATGTCTTGCTATGGAAACAAATAAATAATAATTCATATTACTATACAGAGTGTCCCGCATAAGAACCGACACAGGGCAGGTGCATGTAGGGGTGTCCAAAATATTGTAATTAAACTTACCTATATACAAAGTTGCACCCCTGAGGAGTTATTAGCCCCCAAAGTGGGGCCCTAAATTTAAAAAAAAATTAATATCTCTGCAACGCTTTACCGCAGAAGAACCAAATTTGGTACATGATTTAGGTTTATTACTGGTCTTCTTTGACTACGATTTAAAGTTAATTGAAGCACTACAATATATTCATTGGGAATGACTCACCCCTAAAATTGTACCGAACCTTTTTTGTCATTGACTCAAATGAAAAATAATAATATTAACACAGCAGAATTTAATTTAATTTTTTTATACTTCTGTTAAATTTTAAAAAACTTTATGATTTTCAAGAAAAACCGTATTAACTGACACAACCTTGTAGTACTTCAATTAACTTTAAATCATAGTCAAAGAAGACCAGTAATAAACCTAAATCATGTACCAAATTTGGTTCTTCTGCTGTAAAGTGTTGCAGAGATATTAATTTTTTTCTAATAATAACTCCTCAGGGGTGCAACTTTGTATAGGTAAGTTTGATTAAATTACAACATTTTGGACACCCCTACATGCACTTGCCCTGTGTCGGTTCTTATGCGGGACACCCTGTATATTATTTATATGTAAATATGCAAATCTAAATTTGTATAAATAGGTAGGCATATGTATTTCTATCTTACTTTATCTATTATTTATCTAATACAAAACATATTTTTATGTTTTAATATTTGGCACTTTTAAATAGATAAATAAAATTACATATAACGAATCGTCCTCACGTACCTAAAATATGATAAAACTAATTTTAATCTGATATCAATTGTTTATTCAAATAGACTATTAATTATTTAATTCATATAAGCACATAGTATAACTAGTACTTCCTTATTCTGAACTCAACAGTAATTTTTCCATTTTCTTTTACGTTTATAGGAAGAAATTATTAAATAAAATAAAAAACTATTAGAAAATGTCGCAAGTAAATAATTACGGACAATAGAACCTACTATTTGGTATCATAAAAGCATCCTACTTTGCCATATCCTAATTTAAAGGAAATTCTTTATTAAAGAAAACTACTATAATTTCTCGCCACTTAAGACAAATTGTGGTGCATATGCTTATTAAGGTTTAGTTTAGCGACGTCCTAAGAGCTCAAATTATTTGCTATTAGCTTTCAAGATAAATGGCGTTTTATGATGGAAAACATGAAAGAGAGTGGCAACACGATAAAAAAAATATTTCAAAATTAAGCCAATAAATGACAAAAATCACAAAAGTTGTTGAAAATGATCTCCTCGGCAATGAAGGCTTCTAACCTTCCTCGGTTGAAGAAAATATTTTGTTGTGTTAAAATATGGAAGTATTTATGGACGTGAACATTTTGCATACATCGATTATGTGTTATCGATCAAAAGATTTGATTAAGTAAGCAACAAAGCACCATTAAAAAAATAATGTTTATAGCTAGAGTATAACTACTTAAAATCACTTCAATTCGAATTAAAAAAAATAGAAGTATAGTGAACTCATTTAGCTCTATTAGGTATATAAAAAAAGTAATGAGTCCAAAAATGGGTCTATCTGCTTGTTAATGTATTCATGTGAGTGCATCATTAACTCTAAATAAAACTTTATAACTACAAGTGACTACACCAAAAAAATTAAAAATATATTATTTAAATCGTACTATAAATTATTTATTCGCCACAATATTTACCATTTATTACAAAGGAAAATTATTATTTAAATATTTATACAAACAAAATTGGTTTTACGGCAAATTTTCGTATAACGTTATCGGCTCATAAACACACAAATTTTTATTTAGATATACTCAGATATAAGGTCAACACATTTATATACGCATTAAGCAGGTAAATCATACATTGCATGATAAATAGAGCTGTCAGAACTGAGCCGCAGGACATAGGCGTACATATTATTTATTAAAAAGCAACAAATTAAATTGTCTACAATACACCACCATAAACACCAATTATAGGAATTAATTACGCAAACATCCGCACGATAACAAAGGCAACAGTATACTAAAGTGACGTGAACGTGAAAAGCATTCTGAGCAGCGGCCCACGCGTATCTCGGTTGAACCGCTTGGCACGCCATTGAATTGCGGCTCTCTTTGACAGCCTTAATGATAAATATCTTTTGTTTTGTCCCACTAAGTTTCAATGCAATATATTATTTTTCGAGAATGATGTGGCCAAAACTTGATTTTTAAAAAATCATCTTTCATCTTTGAATATCAAAACAAATGACAATAGTCTCACAGACTACATGAAATAATCACCTGAATTTATGGCAAGGTTTTTCAAAATACCCTGTATATTTATGACAGGAGGAGTGAAAATTGCATTACATTTTAGGTCGATGTTTTTTTTTGACTGAGGTCTAACTTGAATTAAAAAACATATCAGTATCAGTGGTCTCTGTATGATAAAACATTCGATTTTTCCAAACCTTACCGACAAAGTGAGATTATTTGGATGACTTTGATAACGTAAATACGAATAAAATAAAATGTGGACTAGTTGTACTAGTGATATTTTAAATAAAACTTAAAAATTATTTGCTTGAATAATGAGTTTATGTACAGGGTGTTTCATAATAATGTTCAAATATTTTAAGGTGTTTAGAAAGTAATTTTAGGGGTGGTACTTCCTATATATATTTTTTAATTGAGCCACCCCCTTGAAAAAATATTCAAATCTCAAAATGGCCGAAAAAATTAGCTTTTATTTTTTTCCCTACAACGGTTAAACTTAGAAATTTGAATTTTGGTACACGTTAACAACTAGTTGAATGGTATTTTTTTGCAGTCTTTTTTTTCTGGTTTATATATTTGAATGAAAGAAATTAGCACCCCTTGATTTTATTTCTCTCACAACTTTTTTCTACGTCAGCCAATTCCAACAAGAAAAATAGCTTTTAATACTACGTTTCGGTTAGAAACTTTTTTACTCTTTCTTCTCCAGTTTTCGTATAATTAATGGTTTACAAGCAAAAATATAAATTATTTTTCCTTGCCGATTAGGTACACATAATTGGTATAACAGTTACCAAAAACGATCGTCAATTTTCACGTTTTTTGCAAAAATTCTTTTTTATGAATAGGAAAAGTTAAGCAAATATGAACTAAAAATTTAATAAAAAAAAATAAAAGTCAATTTTTTCGGCCATTTTGAGATTTGAATATTTTCTCAGGGGGTGAGGGGGCCAAATCAAAAAAATGTATTGGAAGTACCCCCCTAAAATTAATTTTTAAACACCTTAAAATATTGGCACATCATTATGAAACACCCTGTATAATGCAAAAGATGTTTCTATCTATTTTTAGGTGAAAATTAAGTCTGCTTTGTTGTTGCTTTAGATTTTCAATATCAGTTTGGATAGATATCTCAAAAATGCGTTCCTTTACGTTAAAATAAACTTTATGTATGTAACGTATCAGTCTAAGATAGCACTATAAAAGATCAGTAAGGTCAATAGAACTAAGATGTGGTGATCTAGGAAACATTTCTTATATTGAAGAAACGCACTCTCTATACGTCGATGGTTAGTTAGATAGATAATTTTAAAAGTTGGTTCTCCTTTGACTAATTTTTTAAGAAATTCCAGAAATTGTAATTTTTTGTAGTCAGTCTGTATGCTTACAATTTTTCCACTTCGGCCACAAGAAATCATACTTTAGAACCATTACATTGTTATCAATAAAGTGATCATTTGTGAAAATTTACTTTTTAATAAAAATTTGACTTTACCAATTGTTTTTGCCTAAAAATTTATACCAAATGACGTGAAAAAAGCAAACAGGTGATTTCGTTTATCTAATTAAAAAATGCTAAAAATAAATTAGGTATTTTACATTTTTATATTCATAGACGTCTTCACACTCCTTTAAATTTTTGTGTTTTTTTTAAATACATTTATCTTTTTATCTTTACTGAATATAAACAAACTTAAGCTAAATATTGATCTAGGCAATTATAAAATATGAACATTTTAATAGACTTTACTCTCTTTTTTTTAATTTTAAAATTTTCAGACGTAGCAAACGTCATGTTTGGAATTTATTTTAAATGTCAAATTTGACCAGGGCACATTAATGGTTTTTTTACATCTAACTTTATTTTTTAAGCAAAAAAAGATTGGCAGTCATATTTTTCGATAATATTTGAGATTTGAGCGCATTATTCAAAGTAATAAAAAAGCGAGAAAACTAACCTGCACATGCTGCAACATACAAGAAGTTCCTGTTAGCGGTACCACTACTTGCACTGACCATTGTCGGCGAAACTATGTTAACGTTCCCGCGGTCCGCGTCGTACGTAGCCAGTGGTTCTGCTTCTTCGCTCCCCTCCGCATAATCGTACTTGTATTCATCCTTCTTACCCTCCATCTTCTTTAATTAAAAAAAAAACACCCTCGATTAATAAGATGCAACCCGATAGGACACCGCTAAGAGAATTAGTGACAAAAATTATCTTCACACAATTTCAATTTAATATCCGTTAATCGCTATCGATCGATGATAAAATTTCTTGAGTGCTCTATGATTTTTTTTTAACAAGTTTTGATGTTACAGATAATGCATGTCTACCTTTGTCACTAGTTATCATGGCAAGGACTGAAGATTTTTAAATGGTTTCGGGTTTAAAGAGTAAAAATTATTGTTTTTGCTGATAGTTTTTTTGTATACATGCTTTTATCGTCTTTGGAGGCAAGTGTGTGGCGTTTTTTAACAGAACGCGCTACTGGAGAATTGAAGCAACATGTTATCAATTTATGATTAATGTCATAGAAAATTTAATCTTAAATTAAGATAGACATATGTAAAAAATTATACGTGGTGGAACGAAAATTCAAGAACCCATGGAGACAGAGAGCGGTATATTTTTCACAGGAAAACTCTATCTCTAGATATTCCCTAAACAAATGAAGATATTGAAACGAAATTTTATGTGTACAATATTACAGTGTTATTCAAAAATTTTCACCATATGGGAAAAAACTTTATGTATAAATTTAATAAATTTCTTGATTGTCAGTTGTCTCTGCATGTCGTCAAATCAAAATAGCGCCCATAAAACCTCATAAAACGTGTGTTATATACGAGGGACAGACGAAAACTCCAAATCGGCCTAAGAGTAAAGTACCTTTATATTCAATCCTAGGGAAAAATGTTATAAAGAAAAGTTATTTCCCTCTAAAATATTAATCCAAATATAAAATTTCAGTTCATTATATTGGAAAAGCGATTCCTTACATTTTTGCAACTTTCCCTCGTACCATAATAGGCCCATTCAGTGATATATAATATTTGTTCCAACACAGAATTCAGAACGGTTCCTAACTTAATTCTGGATTTCGCAAGTGCGCAGACGCAAATTAGACACGGTTCAGAATTCAGTTCTTTGTTGGAACGATTTCTAGATATTTTTAGAACCGAAACTACTAATCAGAAAAATGCAAATGTCATTCTTCATCATAATTTCATCATTTCTTCGAAATCAGACATCTTCAGCACTTTTCGAGCAAATAAACTATAAGGTCTGTGACACAAAACATATAAAAGAGTCTGTGAAATAAACTAAGCACAATACTAAGCACGAAGTCGAGGTTATGATGAACGGTGGATCATATACCTATTTTTTAGGTCTATGCGGTGGATAAACGTCATCACACCACCACCAGCACCACCACGCATGCTCAAGATTAGAAATTCTTGTAAAATCCCAGAGCTTTTTGAACCGTTCGTAACTCGTTCAAAAATCGTGTTGAAACAGCGAACGGAAAAGTACTAACGGTTCTGAATTTGTGTAGGAACGCGAAAATTGTAATGCGCAGACTCATTACGATTCCGAACCATCCCGAATTTTAGTTGGAACGAACCTATAATTTTAAACTTTTTCTTTCATTTTCTGATAGTATTTAACCTTAAATATATCTTAAAAAAATTAGGTCAAAAGGATTAATAATAAGTGATATATTTAATTCTGCATTTGTAAGACCCTTAAAAAGGTCAACACTGCGGGAGAACAGGTAATGGCGTCACGATACCGGCCACTCGGCGATCAAGTCGCGAGCAGTCGGAGAGATGTGTAGATATTTGCTATACTTTTACCTATATTATATACCTATATTTTTAAGTGTATAAATACAACATATTTATTGTAAACATAGAATCACTTGGAATACTTAAATACATTTTCGGATTTTTCCCAATGACGTAAATGGTCCGCTTTTCTGCATTTTCTTTTGCGTTCCATTTTTGTACAAATGTACCCAACGTATTAGATTCGGTACTTGTGTATGTATGCGACGACGTGTATGTGCCAGTAGTACTTTGACTAGTATTTGAAGCAACTCAGAACCACCCTCGTTTTTCTTTGGTTGCCCGTCTAGGGGGTTGTAAAATATTATTATTTAAATAAATTGCTTATAGGTCCCTTTCGCCACATATTTCGAAATTTTTGTGGACGGGAACGTTTAGATAGGGTAGAATTTTTTTTTCAGCATAAATTTTAAAATTCTGCTCTAAATGTTTAAATAATAATATTTATAACCCCCTAGACGGCCAACCAAAGAAAAATGAGGGTGGTTCTGAGTTTTTTATAGGTCCCTCTCGCCGACGTATTTCGAATGTTTTGTGAACACGAACATTTACATGGTGTAGAATTTTTTTCCGGCATAAAGTTGAAAATTGTGCTCTAAATGTTCAAATAATAATATTTTACAACCCCCTAGACGTGCAACCAAAGAAAAACGAAGGTGGTTTTGAGTTGCATACCGTGGCTGGGGAAACCGTGGATAACATCAAACAAACTTTTTATTTTTCGGTAATGAAATAAATATTTTATTCGGAGTCGATCCTAAGGTACTTTTGCAGCCTGAAACTATACAATATTTGTACAATCCTCGGTTTCGACTCATTTAGACATAAAAACAATGATTAACGAAACTGCCAAGCGAACCACACACCGTATATATTAACACAGAATGGGATGAGAGAGAGCGCGAGCGCGAGCGGAGTGCTCTGCCAGTCGCCCGTACCGGTATTATGACGTCAGGCAATGGTTGCTCAACGTTTTTCCGCGCTCTGTTTTAATTAATTTATTTCACACATTTGTCGTTGAAACAAAAAATTGATTTTTGGCATACTAACTAATTAAAGGGTAAACTTTTGGAATATGCAAAAAAAATCTACTGCCTATTCGAGCGAAAACATCCATTACTAGTCACGTTTTTTTTTGGTACACTTCTATAAGAAAAACATTATAATTCCTGAAAACAGGTTGAATCAGAAACAGGAATAAGGCCGTTATAAAAAATGGTGTAGAAAATAAGGACAAATTTGGTGTAAACTTTATTTTATGTTTAAGAAAACTAAGTAAAATGGTAAACCTCGTATACACCACTTATTAAATTAACAGTTACAGTTCATTCGTTCAAAAAAGATTAACCCTGGTTGCTATAAGGTGGAAACAATCTTTATTTTACAAAGCAATACAAAAAATCAAATAAGAGATATAAAAAGAAAACTGATTGTTAATAATCAACTTTTTGACTACAGAAAATCTACTTCTAGGTGAACCATTGTAGGTGATGATACTTCTTCAATAACATTAAATTAACATTAACATTTAAATTATTCATAAAATAAAGTTTGCACCAAAATTGGTTTTATTTTCTACACCATTTTTTATAACGGCCTTATTAGTTCCTAATTCAACTTGTGTTAAAGAATTATAATGTTTTTCTTGCAGAAACGTACTAAAAAAACGTGACTTTCACTCAAATTATGGTACGAGGGATAGTTGCAAAAATATAAGGAATCGCTTTTTCAACATAATGAACTGAAATATTATGTTCGGGCTAATCTTTTAGAGGGAAATAACTTTTCTTTAAAACATTTTCCCCTAGGGTTGTAATTGAAGGTACTTTACTCTTGGGCCGATTTGCAGGTTTTGTCTGCCCCTCCTATATAATAAACATTTTATGTAGTTCGATGGGCGCTATTTTGATTTGACGACATTCAGAGACAACTGACAATCAAAGGAATCTATTTTTATACATAAAGTTTTTCCCATATTGTGCAAACATTTTGGATAGCGCTGTAGATTCAATATAAAAAAATTAAGTTCATGCTCAAAATGAAATAAATTAGATTATTCTTGCACCTATTATGCCACCATCAGGGAAGAACTATTATACATATGTATAGTGTGGACCATTTTGGTGATACATTTACTGGTATCTTGGAAACTATAAGAGATTGAAAAGTGGTTAGATGGGGAAAGTTTTAGACAATTATATCTTAATATCGCTTGCAGATCGGTCCTAGCTCTTCAGGTTTTTGAGTAATTTTGAAAAAAAGTAAATGTGGCGTTTTCAAAAATCTATTACTTTTTTATTTAGAGGAATTCAGCAAGTTTTTTCGAGGAATTTCACTGTATACTTAGTTTTTTATGGCGACATTTCGGTTAAGAGAAACCATCATCAACTTTCTTTTTTCTTATGGGCGACATATTGAATTTTAAGTTGAACAAATAGAGCATTTGTTGGCTTTTTAATGATATATTATAAGTAAGAAAAAAAATTAAAAACAACCTCAAAAATCAATATTTTAAATAAATCTGGCAACACCGAATAATTTTTCGAAACTGTTATAGAATAGTCTCAAATTTTTGTAAAAGCTTATCATTAATGTTATGGCGTTGAGTGAAAAAATAACGCTTCGCGTTATTCTAATTAAGAAAAATGTGATATGTTGGAGTTCTTTATTAAAAATACTAGAAAAGCAACTGTGGCTTTAAACAGTTATATTGGAAATTATCCCGAAAGACAACCACCAAATGAAATGTATTTTTCTAAATTTATTACAAATTTGAGAACGTTTGGAAGTTTTGAAATGCTAAGAACAACTATGAAAGAGATAATAATAACTGGGACAATCAAATAATAGATTATTTCAACAACAACAACAACATAAATCAATCAATCAATCATCAATAGAGAAATAAACATCGGGATTATTATTCAAAATGCTGTCCATTTCTGGCTATGCAAGAAGGTACCTTTGTAAGACTACTAATGGAGCTTTTCTTCGTAAAATTTGAGACTATTCTATAATATTTTCGAAAAATTGTGCGATGTTGCCAGATTTATTTAAAATAAAATTTTGATTTTTGAGGTTGTTTTTTGTAACTTGTACCTATTATATCACTGAAAAGCCAAAAAAATGCTTAGCTTAAAATTCAGTCTGATGCCCATAAGAAAAAAGAAAGCCTATGATGGTTTCTCGTTACCGAAACGTTGCAATGAAAACCTAAATATACAGTGAAATTCCTCGAATCTTGCTGTGAAAAAGTGCTTTCAAATTTTAAAAATTCCTATAAATGA